GCAACGCAAAACAGTAGAACCGGCCAGCGGATGAAAGGTGAGGAGCTGGGACTGCCAACACGAACTACTCAGGACGGAAAATATCGGCCCAGGAGGAGGGGGCAGGAGCGCAGGCGGGCGGCGGCTCTGAAGAAACCTGGTCGTCGTCGGCCTGGGGAGGGAGGATAGAGAGAACGTAGAGCCAGGCAGCGGCGCAGCAGGAGCAGCAGGGAGGGAGGCATGGAGGAGTGCAGGGTGTGAGGAGCCCTCCTCCCATCCTCACCTCCTCTCTCCTCTTCCTGTTCCTTCTCATGCACCTCCTCCTCCTCCAGTTCGATCCTCCTCCTCCTCCTCCTTCCCCCTCCTCCCCCCCGATCTTCCTCCTCGTTCCTCCTCCCCGGCCCTCCTCCTCGATCCTCCTGCTCCTCCTCCTTTTCCTCCTTCTCCACCTCCTCCTCCTCCACCTGCTCCTGCTCCTACTCCTCCTCATCCGCCTCCTGCTCCTCCTCCTCCCCGATCCTCCTCCCTGGCCCTCCCTCCCCAGATTCTCCCCGACCCTGCCCCCCCCCCGAAACCCGCCGAGAAGAGCACGCTCGCGCGCGCGCGCGCCTCTCGGGACTCGGCGGCGCGATCTCCCCCTCTGCGCGCGCGGCCACGGTCCCTGGGCCGCGCTGCGAGGGGGTGGGGGCGAATTCTGGGCGGGGGGGCCTCTCCCTCCCCTCCCCTCCCCGCCCCTCCCCTCCCTCCCGCCCTCCTCCTCCTCCTCCTCCTCCTTCTTCCTCCTCCTCCTCCTCCTCCTCCTCCTCCTCCTCCTTCCTCCTCCCCTCCTCCTCCTCCTCCTCCTCCTCCCCTCCCCTCCCCTCCGCCTTCCGCCCCTCCCCTCCCTCCCGCCTCCTCCCTTCCTCCTCCTGATCCTCCTCCTGATCCTCCTCCTCCTCCTCCTCCTCCTCCTCCTCCTCCTCCTCCTCCTCCTCCTTCCTCCTCCTCCTCCTCTCCTCCTCCTCCTCCTCCTCCCCTCCTCCTCCTCCTCCCCCCCTCCTCCTCCTCCTCCCTCCTCCCCCTCCTCCTCCCCCTCCTCCCCCTCCTCCTCCTCCCCGCTTTCTCTTCCTCGTCCTCGTCCTCGTCCTCCTCCTCCTCCTCCTCCTCCTCCTCCTCCTCCTCCTCCTCCTCCTTCTCTTCCTCCTCCTCATCCTCCTCCTCCTCTTCCTCCTGCTCATCCTCCTGCTCATCCTCTTCCCTCGCTTCGTTCGCGCCCCCCGCGTCGCCCAATGAGCAGGAGGCGCCGCAGTCCGTGTCGGTGCCGATGTACGCGCAGGACGGCAATGTCGGCGGTGCGCGCCGAGATGGCGGAGGCGCCACCAGATCCGAAGCGGCGAGGGATGCCATGGCCGAGAGGGAGCCATGTTCAGAGGGTCGTCGGCTCCTTCGTGACGCTCAGCTGCTGCGCGGCGCTCCTTCCGCAAAGCCCGACCCTGGCGCAGCGCTCCACGCCTTCGGGGAGGCGACCGCCGCCTTCGCAGGGGCCGCGCTGCAGCCCGAGCCACCCGCGGCGCCCGCGGCGAACCCCGATTGCGAACCGTTGTTGATGCTGTGCTCCGTGGGGGGCGCGGTGCTGCCCGCCCGCACGTGCGCGCTGAGAGCCCCTGGCCGGGAGCAAGGTGAGCACTATGTTGTGCCCGTCATACTCAAGGCCCACGTCCCAGAAATAATGTTGAGCACCCAGAAAAGTGTCGAGCCGGTATCGAAGCAGCGTCGAAGCAGTGTCGAACGAGTGTCTCCCAGGCCCAACACGTGCAAACCCTCGAGTTTCGGCTCTGTGTTGGTGCTCGAAATTCTTCATGGTCATCGAGGCTAAAGTAAGCAGGAACATCATACAGTGAACACGCCTGTGCGTCTGATCAGCACCCTATGGGAGCCCACAAAGAACGCCCGCGCCTGCCCGCGCACAGGTAACACGCCCCCCCCATCCGCGAGACCAGACGCGTGATAAAAAAACGCGCAATGACTGCCAACGTGGATCATCCTCCTCCCTCCCTCCCTCCCGCCCTCTCGAAACCAAAAAAAAGCGTGATCATCTCTCGAAACCAACGTGGATCCGTGTACTGTACGTCCTTCTTTCGCTCCTGATTCCCCTCCTCTCCTACCCCTCGGAAGAGAGTTCCTGAAGGAGCGCTCTGCCCGACCTTCGTATTCGGCGCCCTCCTACTTCGCCCTCCGTCGCGAGGGGTGACGCGCCGCACGGCTCCGCTGGGGGGCGAGGGCGTCTCCCTCGGGATTCGCTTCTCCTCGGTATGATCCCGCTGATCCCTCATCCTCCTCCCTCCCTCCCTCCCTCCCACCCTCGCTTCCATCCTCCCTCCCTCCTCCTCCGCCTCCTCATCATCATCACCATCACCATCATCATCAGCATCAGCATCACAATCAGCATCACCATCACCATCACCATCATCATCATCCTCATCATCCTCCTCATCCTAATCCTCCTCCTCATCATCATCACAATCATCACCATCACCATCACCATCACCATCACCATCACCATCATCATCATCATCATCAGCATCATCATCATCATCATCAGCAGCATCAGCATCATCATCATCATCATCATCATCATCATCATCATCATCATCATCATCTCATCATCATCATCATCATCATCATCATCATCATCATCATCATGGTCATCATCATCATCATCATCATCATCATCATCATCAGCATCATAATCATCATCGTCATAAGCAGCATCATCAACACCATCAGCATCATCATCGGCATCAGCATTACCATCAGCATCATCATTATCATCATCGGCAGCATCATCACCATAATCATCAGCATTATCAACATCAGCATCATCAGCATCAGCATCAGCATCAGCATCAGCACTCCTCCTTCTCCTCTTCCTCTTCCTCCCTCCCTCCCTCCCTCCCTCCCTCCTCCTCCTCCTTTCCTCCCTCCCTCCCTCCCTCCCTCCCTCCTCCTCCTCCCTTCCTCCCTCCCTCCCTCCCTCCCTCCCTCTCTTCTGCCTCCCTCCCTCCCCCTTCGAGGAGGGACGTGCGCCAGGCCCCTCGGAGACCCCGGGGCGCCCGGCCCCGCGGGGCACGGCCGGAGCCCCCCGGATCACATGAGGCAGGCGTAGAGCTTCACTTTCGCCTGGATCTCGGGGGCCTGCCGGGCGCCGCGCACGCACAGGGGGTTCCGGGCGGGCAGGGCAGCGAGAACCAGCAACGAGAGAGGCGGAGGAGGAAACGGAGGAGGAGGATGAGGAGGAGGATGAGGAGGAGGAGGAGGAAGAAGATGGCGAGGAGGAGGAGGAGGAAAGGGCCAAGGAGGAGGAGGGGGAGGGGGAGGAGGAGGAGGAGGAGGAGGAGGAGGAGGAGGAGGAGGAGGAGGAGCAGCAGGAGGAGGAGGAGGAGGAAGATGGCGAGGAGGAGGAGGAAGAGGAAAAGGACGAGGAGGAGGAGGAGCAGCAGGAGGAGGAGGAGGAGGAGGAGGACAAGAAGGGGAAATAGGCATATGGGGGAGGACACCGACCTTGAATCGGCGATGCATCGCCGATAGATCCTGGGCAACTGGGCAACTGGGGGCTACAGCGCCCATGTCGGCGATGAAATGGCGATTGGATGCGTTGCCCCCGACCATTTTCGTTGCCCCTGACCTGGCTTCCCTTCTGCCTCCCCGGGGACAAAGGAAGGAGAGCGGGCGGGAACTATCCTTTGTACTCGATGTGTTCGTGCTTGCTATTGTATCCCTGGCGTAACATCATTATACGCTTCGCCCCGGCGAGTCGTAGCAGCAGGGAAGGAGGGAGGATGGAGGGAGGGAGGGAAGAGGAGGAAAGAGGGAGGAGCGCGGAGGAGCGGGAAGTGGGGGGGTGGGCAGGGAGGGAAGAGGCAAAACGAGGAGACCTGTGGTGCAGGGCCACCACTTGGGGGTACGCATATTAATCCTAAGGGTGTCGGGTGGGGTTCATGGTCAATTCCGTCGCAGTCGGTGACGGCGAGCAAACCCCGACCCTTCGGGGGAGAAGAAGGAGAAGAAAGGAACGGAAACATGAGATGAGAGGACAAGGAGGGATTATGGAGAATAGAAAAGGGTGGGGAGGAGGACGGAAGGAGGCGGGGCAGGGAGGCGGTGGCAGAGACAGCTGGTGGGAGGGAGGTATCCTCGCCCCCGCGTCCCCAATCGCACGGCTGCCCTTTTGGCGTGGTGCGATGCGACGTGAGCCAAGTATTTCCTGGCCTTGAGCCCACAGAGCCGGGCATGGCGTTGCAGCATCATGTGCGCGAAGAGGGAAAGTCCCAAAATGGTTCATTGTCACGGAATGATGGCTACTGGGATCACGAACGCCGGCCCCAAGCCATAGAGGCAAGAAAAGAGGCCTCGGGGGGGGGGGGGGGGGGGGGGGCAAAATAAAAGAGGGGAGTGGAAGGAAATGAACCAGGGACCTGGACCAAGACTGAACGCGGAAGCTCGGTGTCGATCTTGGTCACCGCCGATTTTGGACAGCGCCAGATCGTGGAGCATCCTCGCGAATTGGCGGCGACTGGCTTGGACCACGACCAAGACCGGCCCCGACAAGATCCCGCGACATCTTGGACAGGGTCCCAGTGCGTCGTCCCTAAAAGGGAGAGCGGGATGAGTAGGGCATTGGGCGTCGCTCAATGGGGGGGTGATAATTGGGGGGGGGAAGATGCCCTTGTCGGGCCCTAAAGCCCTAAAGGCCACCTCCTGAGCCCGAGCAGATTTCTTCTAAAACTCTACTCCAAAGGAGCGCCCCCTGCGTCCGAGATCCGCGGGACACGCACACGCGGCCCGCCTAGCCGTCCGCCGTGTCGTCGGCCACCCACCCACGAGCGGGGCCAAAATGCCCGCTGCGTTGCCGCCTCCGCGCGCGGCCGCCGACCCCCGCCGACGCGCGAGCCGCCTGCCGGCGCTCGAGGCCAGCGCGCCCGAGCCGCAGGGCCTCTGCCTCCGAGGCGATTTCGCGCGCGGCGAGCACCTGCACCGGCGACGGCCGCTGCCCAGCCGCGGCGCGCACGGGCTCTGCCGGTCGGCGCGCCCCTGCGCCCTCCCCCTGGTCGCCACCGCGCCAGCCGCCGCCGGCAGCCCCGCCCGGCGGCCCCGGCGGGGGGATCCTCGCGGGGAGAATGGCAGGACGGCGCTCCGGGCCTGCCGGGGAAGCCGCCGGGGCCTTGGAGGGAGCCGCCGGGCCCCCCAGGCCCCCAGGGCTTCCTCGAAATCGGGCCAATCCCAAATCTATGACTGTCATGGAGACGAGCCCAACGGCATCCTGGGCGTCTCTTGCCAGGCCCTCCTCCACGCGGCCCGCGAAGCGACAGGCGTACCTGGCCATCTCGTAGCACGCCGTGACCAACAAGACGTCTTTCTCCGTAGCCCCGACCCGGCCAGCCCCCTGCTCGGCTCGGAAATCAGGCCAGCGATTGCCGACGTGGTCAACCGCTGGGACCTCGCCCTCCTGGGCCGCCTGCTTGCCGAGGTGAGACTCCAACGTGGCCGCCTGCACCTCGCCCAGGCCGTCGTTGGCGCCCAGCCCAAGGCGCCCCTTCGCCGCCGGCGGCCTCGCCGCCCAGCGAGGCGCTCTGGCGCGAGCCACTGCGGCCTTGCAACCAATCGCCAACAGGTAGACCCCCAGGATGCACCGCGCTGCCTGAGCCACCGCGACGCACTCTCCATCGCGGGCCGATTTCGAAGGCGCCAGCGACGGCGGCACCCTGCCCGAGGCCTCCGCCACGATTGCTCCTTGGGCGTCGAGCACGACCACGGACCGGCCCGCCGCGCGAAGCGCTGCTGTCGTCCGCGAAAAACCCGCCACCCGACATCAGCCACCAGACCGTCTGGCGGCCAGTTGCGGGCCTGCAGCGCCCACTCGGGGCGGCAGCAGCCGGAGGCAGGCCTTCTTGCGGGGCCCCCAGGGCCCCCCCACAGGCGCGCGGAACAACACCAGGGCGGGCATCCGCGAGGGCGAGGGCCCCCGCGGCCAAATTTGAGCCGGCCGCTGACGGGCGCCCGTCGCCCCAAAAGAAAACCCCGCAGGGGTCCGAAAGGGCTTCCTGCTACGCTGCCCTCGCCGCCCCATCCATGCATCGCCAGAGGGCGAAGAGGAGGAGGAATAAACGCCATAACAAGCAGAAGAAACGGTCACGCGCCACGGGCCCGCTCGCCCCCCTGCTGCGAGACCACCCGGTTGAATGCAACAACGCGAAGCTACCTCAGACAAACTGAACGACCAACCCGAATGATCGAGGCCAGGGCAAAGCGCGCTGCGCAGCCCCGAGCTCGGCCGAATTTCGGAAATGGGTCACCAAGGATTCGGGCGCGCGGGCTGGGGGCGACCCCCCCCGGGCCCCGCGGGGGCCCAGGCCAGCGGCACTGGCGGCGCCAGGCCGACCCCAGGGACACCCGAAGGGGTTAATTTCAGATCAGGCCGCCAGGGAAAGGAGGCGGAGTAGGTGGGGGGACAGAGAGGAGGCAATGCGACGCGGTCGTCGGAATGAGCCTGCTGGCTCAAGCGCAGGCCGAGTTACCGTAGCGGCGCGCGCCCTTCAGGAAGATGGTTCAGCACGGGAGTAAGAGACTTCCCTTTCACACTGAGACTGAAGAATGGCCTCATCCACGGCCCCGCCACTGACTTAATCCCACTCCACTCGCAATCTCCCACTTTTGCCGCGTCAGCAAAGCGCGACCGACGAACATCTCCAGCTCGCCAGGTGGCAACCACCGGAACCAGGGCCCCACGGCCTAGCACGCCCTGCGCCACGCCGCTCTTACGGGACGGAGGGGTTCGGGCCCTTTACGAGGCGCGAGAGACACGGGCGGAAGACCCTGAAGAAATGGCGCGAGTAGATTGAATAGGGGACCGATCCACTCAGGACTATGATGGTTGCCGCTCTTTGCCTTTGATGCTCCGACGCAGCGCCTCGACACGAATATCCCGACTGTATGTTTCTCCGCGCCGCCGTCGCTGCCGCCCTCGCCCTCGGCCTCCGCGCTGCGATCCAGCAGCAGATGCGCCGTCTGCTCGAGGCGGGCGACTGGCGCGGAGCCGAGCTTGAGGCGGCCCCCAACGCCCACCACGATCTCGATCAGCACCTGCTCGAGCCTGCGCGAACAGAGGCTCGGCGAGATCCAGCCCCTCGATCTGGGCGCCCTCCGCATAGCTGAACTGGGCCCTTCGGCAGCGCTCCCCGCAGCATCGGCGAACGCGGAAGTGTCGAATCACAAGCGCCTGGCCACCCAGTGATGCCACTGATAAGGAAACTTGGCGTAGAACGCGTCGATGGCCCCGCGCGGCTCCAGGAGCTTCTTAGCTCCGTTGTCCTCCGCCATCGACATGGCGGCGGCGCGCGCCGTGCATGCGCGCGGAGGGCCGAGCTTCGATCGCTTTGAACTCTGGAACTGCCGCGACCCCCGCGGAGCTCTTCCCCGCCGTTCTGGCGGCCGCGACCACGCAGCTCTCCGAAGGCATCGCCGGCGAAATCACCCCGACGCCGCCGGGCACCGAGGCTGTTGAGCGCGCAAGCATGCCGTTTTTCAACCGCCTTGAGAGCGCGATCTGGATGCCCTTTCCGCGCGGAGATCCCTCGACCTTTGTCATGTCGTCGTCGGCCTCGTCCGCCGTCCCAGCTTTGCCTTTTTTTGCCGGCGGCTGCGTTGCCGTCGTCGCCAGCCCCGCCCTCCTTGCTCTTGGCGCGGGCCGCAAGGGCCTCGAGGCCCGCCCCCACTTGCGTCGCGCAGTCGAAGACGCGAAAGTGCCATGGTTGGGGCAGGGAGGTCGCAGTGCACACTGACGCGCAGCTGCGACAGCAATCAGGACTTGAGCCAAGCGGGCACAGACCGGGCACTGATGAAAAGGAGGCCGCCGAAGACTACAAGCAAGACAGGCGCTTCTCCCCACTGCGCAACGGTCTTCCCGGCAGGGCCCCATGACGCGACGCCGGGCAATGCCTCTAGGCCCCACGACTTGAAGGCGCGACAGCTTCGATTGTCACGGCTACGAGGCTGGAGCTTCTGACGCGGTGAAATTTGCCAGCGCACACTGGCAATGTCTCCAGCTTCCTGAAGCGCTCGCCGCGTTCAGAACCCTCGGAGGTCGACGAGTGGCACGAGCCACTCCTGGCCCCCCGACCCCCCCCCCCGACTGCCCCCCTGGGACTGGGGCGAAACTCGGGGAGAAACTGCACAAGAAAAGTCCCGAGCTCGAAGAATCACGAAGTCGACGTCGGCCCAGGCCCCGCAGCCGCAGAATAATTCAAATAATAAGCAGTCAAGAGGAACGAGCTCCTCCATCGCCTCGGAAGCCTCGCGGGCACGCCTCAGATGCGCGGACGCCCGGGCCGCCCATCGGCTCGCCCGCGAAGTCAGCCCCCAGGAATCCGAGATCACCGCCCGAGACCCCGAACGCACCAACTAGGCCCGGCACCACTGCAGACGCCGAACCCGAAGTTCAGGAAAGCACGGCAGGATCCCCAGATGAGGTGCGGCGCAGGCCGCGGACCACCCGCGCCCCCCCCCCCCGTTGTCCATCGAGACCCTGGGCCCCAAGGCCCCGTCGCACGGCCTGCCAGGGAATTGTGCCAGCGCCGGCGCAGACAGATTCGTCGGGCGCCGTCGCTACCGCGCTCGCTGAAAGCGAAGCTTGACAGAAAGCAGTGGCCAACGTCCATCCGACGCTCAAAACCGCGAGGTGCCGCGAAGTTTTCGACGACATCCCGGGGCCAGCCCTCCTGCCCGGAGCGGAGCGAGCCCGCGGATGTCAGCCGACCGCCAGGGGCCCCAAGCGCCCCACCTTCCCCGAGACCTCTGGGACCCCGCCGCAAAAGAAGACCCCCTGGGAAACCGAACCACTACAAACGGATAACGCGACAGAGACTCTGCCATCCGGGTTCAGATCGGCACCGAACTCGCCCATCGCATCTTGCAGCAATTCCCTGCTCGCGCGGGCCTGCGCCGCGAGAGCGCGCGCGTCGCCCCCGCCGCAGAATGGCGCGGGATCCCGGCCTGGGACGACCTGCTTCGCGATGCCACCAGCAAAAAAAAATCGACGCCCACGTCGGCCACCGCGGCGCACGACTTGGAAGGCGCCAGCTCTCTCTTCGCACAAATGGGCCCCACCTCGCGCTGGTGGCAGCAAGAGAAGCCCCGAGCAGCATCGGATGTCCCATGAGATCTTCAGTCGTTGGAAGCAATGAGATAGCCATCGCAGGCGCGTCGATCTACGCGACGCCGAGCGTCGCTCGCAATTCAGGGAACCTCACGCGTTCAGGATGATAGAGCCACGGCGATGATTAGAGCACCACTTCGCATGCCAAACACGAGAACGCATCGGTCGCGTCTTGGCCGGAGATCACGCGGGACAAGCCCACCTGCTTCACGCGCCACGAAGTACAAGCGCGAGCAGCCATCGCATCTGCAAGACGACGATTCCGAACTAAACCATGACAAACAGAGAGTACAGATCTCCGCTGGCGGGCAGATTAGATGGACCCACCGAGAACCTGCAGCACCTGCGTTTGCCGCTGCGTTGATGTAGCCCACAGCGAGAAGACGCATCGAAGATCAGCGGCGCCAGCTGCGCGCGTTCGAAAGCAGACGAGCGCGTCAATGAATCGCTCGAGGAACGCGGTGCCAGTGGAAGGCCAAAGACCCGCCCAAAGGCCGCCCCCTTGGGAGCCACCCCACTTCACCTCGCCGAACAGTAACAGCCAGAACACCAATTGAACATGCCGGGACGGCGCCGCCCCCCCCCCCCCCATTGGAGCACGGCGCAGCTGACGTAGCATGCCCCATGCATCAGCGCGCGCTGCCTCGAGGCCCGTGTTCTGCACGTCGTCGGGTCGGGCGTCGTAAGAAGCGCCCCATACAGCGGCGCGCCGTCGCCAGAAGCGCCCCACCAACCCAGCTCGAAGAATGCACGCCCAACCCCCCAACACACCATCGGCAACGGACCGACGCGAGAATTCGGAAATCGCCTGCGCCTCCACCTGCACGGTCTTCGTAACAAAATACCGACGGCGTCGAAGTCCGCGCCCCTGCGCGGCAAGTGGGCCAGTGTCTCTGCGCAGCGCAACGATAATAAGCGCCAGGCTTGATCCAACTCTGCCGTCATCAAGGCATTGCGCTGATCTGTCAGAGATCGTGAAACCCGCTGGGCGGATAAGCCATGCGCGCCAACTCCAACTCGAGATCATTCCGATGGACGGCGGGCTTACCAAAGCGGCGGCCTCGAAAGATTTTGCTTCAAAGAGTCGGCCCGATCGAGCCGTCTCCAGTTCAGGTGGCGGCGATTCCTGCTCAGATTTGTTCTCGAAGACCTCCTTGGCAGAATTGGCGATCAAAGTTGTCATTGAATCCCACGCTTCGTCAGGTGTTGCTTTTTAACATAACTGCATCCACGATTCCTCCTGAATATTAAGAGCCGACTGGTGAATTGCCTCCAGTGCCGCCGTGCACCACGTTCTCGATGCAAGTGAATTCATGCTCTGGTCGTAGTCCCGTGGGTGAATAATCGGCTCCGTGAACTGCGCACTGAAGTCGTACTTCAACTCGATGCACACTGGGTGGTGGCCGCGGTCGTCTAAGGCGCCGACGGGTTGCAACCGCCTCCCTGCAGGATGTAAGATGATGAATTCACGACGTGAGCGCGACATCCGAAAGAATTTTGGCCGTGATGGAGGAGCCCCAGTGCCGAAGAAAATTGCCCTCACTGGATAGAATGCGTTACATGCGCAGAGGCGGCGGTCGATCAACATGTTTCTCCACAGGCGTCCTGCAAGCCCCTCTTGGTCGGGATCGCATGTCCCTACGACATGACACCCATCGTCCTCCTCGGCGGCGTTTGGAATTGGAGGCCCTTCCCAAGACATCTCGTGCGAGTGGCCCAGGCCGTCGTCGAGGCCAATCCCAATCAATGGAATGCACCTGGCCCCCACCGATGAGAGAAGTTTACGCAGCTATGCCATCACACGCTGCACCAATAGTCTGTGATCTGCACGGGGTGCACGTTCACTGGAGTAAGCTGGAATGCACAAACAAACCAAAAGAATATCCAATGTTACCGGCTTGAGTCGTACGGCGCCACATCGATATTCAATATTAGGTGGTGGTGCGATGATGCGATTGAGGATTATCTGCGGCAGAACCTTGCGATGCATAAATAGGATGGTCCCACAAGCCTTGATCGATGCCCGTGTGAACAAAAAAATATATCTCATAATGTGGATCATGCCGGAACAAAATGTGATCGTCCTCGCCCTTCCAACGACCTGTGCCCTGAGAAATATCACCGCTACGTTCGACAACTCTGGCGATATGTCGCTATCGCGGGGGGCACATAGATGCAAAGGGGTTGTAGGTGACCATGCGGAACGTCCTGTGCGACTGACGAGTGGAGGCGTCCTGATGCGTCATGCCCTCGAAACGGATGATGCCGACGACGCACACGGCGAGAAGCCTGCGGCACAGGCGCAGGACGCACCCCGCCCTCAGCATAGAGACCGCGGGCCCCGCATGCGAGACAACCATCGCAGCCGCGGAACTGAGAGTCTCTGTCGTTGCAGTAGCCGCGAAGGGGGGGTCCGTACCATGGTGGCGGCCAGGAGGAGGAGGATGAGGAGGAGGAGGAGGGGGAGGAGGTAGCCGGCTGGGAACCTCGGGAGCGCGGGGGGGAGACAGCAGGCGGCGCAAGCGGCCCTGCTTACCGCAGGCGTCAGCGTCATCAGGTGGGGTGGGGGGGGGGACGTGTGGGAAGGGCGAATGTCCTCTTCCTCCTCCTCCTCCTCCTCCTCCTCCTCCTCCTCCTCCTCCTCCTCCTCCTCCTCCTCCTCCTCCTCCTCCTCCTCCCCCTCCTCGTCTTCCTTCTCCTCCTCCTCATCCTTCTCCTCCTCCTCATTCTCCTCATCCTCCTCCCGGGCGGAAAACGGGGGTGGGGGCCTGCCGTCAGAAGCGCAGCAGAAGCATGAGGATCCCTCGCTCTCGAACAGTCAGCCCAAGCGTCAGACCTCGCTCAAAATTGATGGGGATCCTGGGGGGGGCACAAGGCACAGGTGGCTTGAAGCGCTCTAGTGCGATAACTCGCCCACGAGGCACCATGCGCCCGCACAGCTCGGAAAGGGAAGGGAGAAGAGACACGAGGAGAAGGGAGGTGCGAGGAGGAGGGGCAGAGGGAGGGGGAGGAAGACAAGCGACAGAGAGAAAGGGAGAGAGGCAGGACGAGGGGAAGGAAGAAAAGGGAGAGAAGCGTCCGCCTCACTTTAGATAAGACACCTCTTCTGATGGGCCTGGGCTCCACCACCACCACCATAGTTTGGAGGAGAGAGGGTCCTTCTCCTCCTCCTCCTCCTCGTCCTTCTCCTCCTCCTCCTCCTCCTCCTCTTCGTCCTCCTCCTCCTCTTCGTCATCCTCCTCCTGCTCCTCTTCGTCCTCCACCTCCTCCCCCCTCCAACCTGTGGTGGTGGTGGTGGAAAACAGGCCCATCATCTGCCGCTCCGCTCTGTGCAGCCTGGGGCTCGCTCCTTCGGCTTCTTCCGCCCGACGGGAACGCGGGAGCACGTCTCCCGCTCCGCCACCCTGCGCGAGCGGCTCTCTCTGATTGCAGCCTTTTTATGGGGGGTTATTCCTGGTGGTCGGGGGGGGGGACGACGTCACCGAACACGCATACGGCTTGAGTGCGAAATCCACATCCTGGATGACCTCCACGAGGGCAAGCTTGGTGGGCACTGAAAACGAGGATCCGTAAGATACCTTCTTAAAGAGGTGAAATTCCCGCACGAGGTTCCACAGAAGCTGGGGGGGTTCTGTTTGCAAACTGTCCTGAGCTCCAGGTTGTCTTGCCTTCATAGGCGGCCTGGCTTATTGGCTGACATAGCGAGCCTGCGCCTGAAAAAAGTCATCCTCCTCCATCCTTCACCCTGAATCCTCGCTCCTCGATCCTCCCTCCTCCTCCACTTCTCTCCCCTCCTCCACCAACGCTCCCCGGACCCTCCTGGGATGCGCTCTGACCAGAAGCTCCAAAGGGATCCAGCCTTGGTGACGAAAACGCCCCAAGTGGCACCAACAATCGAACAAGCATGTAGAAGAGGAGGCCTTGCTCATCATCATCACCCTCCTCTTCTGAATCATCGTCCCCGTCCTGCTCTCTCGATCCTCCTCGATTATCCTCCTCCCTCCTCACCCTGATCATCCACCTCCTGCTCCTGATCCTCCTCTCCCTCCTCCTCCTCGTACTCTTCGTCTTCCTCTTTCTCGTCCTCGCCATCCTCATCATCATCATCATCATCATCATCATCATCATCATCATCATCATCCTCGTCCGTTTCCTCATCACCACCATCACCATCATCAGCATTAGCATCATCATCATCATCATCATCATCATCATCATCATCAGCATCATCACCATCACCCCTATATCCTCCTCAGTAACTTCAAGAGCTGCCCCAGTCTTCGGTACACCGCCGATGACAGCCTGTCCCTGAAGATGGGTTCGAGTTGCCTACAACCTATTGCCTCCTCATCCGCCTCCTTCTCCTCCCCCTCCTCCTCCTCCTCCTCCTCCTCCTCCTCCTCCTCCTCCCCCTCCTCCTCCTCCTCCTCCTCCATGCCTTTCCTTACACATGACTCCTCCCTGGCGCACCCCGAGGCGTGTTGGTAGGGCGGGCTGGGCGTTCCGCTGGACACCTCCCAACCAGTGACGTTCCCGAAACTTGACACTTACAACAGGTTCACAGGAGATGGAGGGCTGGTCGTTCTCGAAGCATGGCCCTCGCCCCAACGGCGCGCACGTTCAAAAGTTTGCAGCAGTTTGGAGGGCGGAGGGCATGTCCTTTTTAAACTGGGACTCTCGCCTACGCGCCCCGCACGTTCGTGTGAAAACTGTGCACCAGCTTCAGGGATGGATGGCGGGTCGTTTTCAAAATCTTGCTCTCACCCTAGCGCCGCGCACATTCACCGTACAAGTGTGCAGCTGCTCTAAGAATGGAGGGCCAGTCGTTTTGAAAATGCGGCTCACGCCTTAGCGCCATTCACCTTGGTCTTAGCATGTTGCAATATATTCGACGATGGAGGGCGGAACGTTCTCGGAAATGTGGCTCGCGCCATAGCGCCGCGCGCACTGGTCTGAAGAGTTTGCAGCAATTGCAAAGATTCGTATGGCTATGCGCCCACGAAAAAGTTTTCTGGCACGGTTCAGGATTGCCAGGACGCATCAGTATCGTTAAGTCCCTAGAATGGCTATCTCGCACCATTCTGGATTGTCAGGGTGTAACAATCAAGTTGGTTCGTGGCGTTGAAGTCACAAGATTTGTGCTTTGTCACGACTGAAGATTCTCACAAGGTTGTCTTCCAATGGGGCACGTCCCGTAATGAAGTCAAAGTCTTGTAGGGATCTATAAAGAGGGGGCTTGGAGGGAGAGTGTACTGCAGCATGGTTGATGCAGCTCGGGATGGCACTGGTCCTCCTCCCCCCTACCTCCCTCTCCTTATCCTTCTCCCCTATCTCTCCCTCTCTCCCTCTCTCTCCTCCACCCTCTCCCCCTCTCCCCCTCCCCGTCTCCCTCTCCCTCGCTCCCTCTCCCGTTCTCCCTCTCCCTCTCCCTCTCCCCCCCCTTCTGACGATGACAACGACGACGAAGACGAAGACGACGACGACGACGACGACGACCACGACCACGACGCCGACGCCGACGCCGACGCCAACGCCGATGCCGACGCCGACGCCGACGCCGATGCCGACGCCAACGCCGAGACGCCGACGCCGACGCCGACGACAACGATGAAGACAAGACGACGAAGACGACGACGACCACGACGAGGACAACCACGCCGACGACGACGCCGACATTGCCGACGACGACGACGCCGACGCCGACGACGACGACGACAACGAAGACGACGACGACGACAACGAAGACGACGATGACGACAACAACAACGACGACGCCGACGCCGACGACGACGCCGACGACGACGGCAACGACGACGACGACGACGACGCCGACGCCGACGCCCAAGACGACGACGACGACGACAACAACGACGACGACGCCGACGACGACGACGCCGACGACGACGAGGAGCCTCCTCCGCCGCGGCGGCGCGCTCGCTCTCGCGCGCGCAGAGCGAACACAGCAGCACGCCCAGCAGGAAGCTGCATACGGCGCGCACGTCCTGGCGAGCCGCGCGACGGCCGCGGGCCGCGAGCGGCGCCCAGCGGCTGAGAGACGACGACGACGACGACGACGACGACGACGACGACGGCGACGATGACGACGACGGCGACGACGATGCCGACGGCGACCACCAGGACGACGACGACGACGACGACGACGACGACGACGACGACGACGATGGCGACGACGGCGGCGGCGGCGTCGGCGGCGGTGGCGATGGCGGCGTGCCACGCCGAGTTAAAGTCCCACATCTCCTCCTAAGTTTTCGAAAGCTTTCGGGCCTCGGCATGTTTTCTTCAGCGGCCGCGCCTCGTCGAGAGCACTGTGCGACCAACCGGCGCCGCCGAAACTGCAGGCGCTCGGGGTCCCAAGACGGTGCGGCGGCAGACCGCGCGGTGACCTCGAACCCCCCGAAGGCCTCACCACCGCACGGTCCGCCACCGCACGGCTTGGGGGAGACGGGAGGCCCTTTTGGCCCGAACCGCTCCAGGTGCCGGAAAGAGCCGCCCAGGCTGCGGGCCCGCGCGGGGCGCGCCCGACGCCCATGGGCCGCGCGCAGTGCCACGGCCCGAGGCCCGGAATCGCCCGGTCACCCCGAAGCCCCACGGACCCACTGCACGGCATGGTCACCGCACTGTGTGGGGGCCCTGGGCACCCGCGCGGACGTCCTCGACGCCGGCCCGGCCGCCGCCGACGCTGCCGTGGCCGCCGCGCATGTTCCAGCAGTTTGCAGGGATGGCTCTCGCCACCCTTGAAGGGGGGAGGAGCAAGGGGGGGAGGAGGAGGCAGGAGGAGGAAGGGGAGGGATGGGGAAGGGGAGGGGGAGGGCTGAGGAACTGGGAGGGATGAGGAGTGGGGGCGATGGAGGAGCAGGCCGTGTTCGGAAAGTGGCTATCGCGCTGGCGCCGCGCACACTCATCTCGGCAGTTCTGAGACAGGTTCAGGGAGGATGGAGGGCGGCTCCCTGTCGGAAGGAGGCTCTCGCTGGAGGCCCCTCCACGAGCACACGGAGGTTCCAGTGGCGCGGATGGGAGGCGGTGCCTTTTCCAAAGCGGGCCGCGCTCTCGAGACCCCTCAGAGTCAGGATAGATCGAAGTGGAGCAGAGCGGCCCCCCCCGGGAAATCGGTGTCGGTTTCGGGCTCGTGTCGCGCATGCGGTCGGTGCGAAGTTGCGTGGGCGGGCGAGAGGAACGACTCCGCCGTGGCCAAGGCGGGGCAGGACAACAGACCGCCCCTCCCGGGCGCTGGCGCGGCTGGGGGCATCCCGCCATGGTGTCCCGCCGTGGTGTCCCGTGGGTGTCCGCGGCGGTGGCCGGGGATGTCCCGTCGGTGATCCGTCGGTGTCACTGCTGGTGTCCCGTCGGTGTGCCGTCGGTGTCCCGTGGGTGTCCTGTCGGTGTCCCGTTAGTGCCCCGCCATGTGTCCTGTCGATGGCACGTCGGTGTCCCGATTGGTGCCCCTTTGGTGTCCTGGTGTTTTTTGGTGGTGCCCTCGATCGTGTGTTTCTGATCGTTTTTGCTTCCGTGGTATGGTTGTGGCCCAATCGTACCCATGATGATATCAATAGCCATTTGTTCTTCACGAGTACCGAGGTCGAAAGTGAGGTCGAGTAAGATCGATCGTGAAATCGATAGTGATACCGATAGCGATAGCGACAGTGAATTCGATAGAGTCGGATCGCTAAAGTGAGATGGTTAGGGTGATATCGGTAGAGTGGGATCGATAGAGTTAGATCGATTGGGTGAGGCCGATAGTGAGATCAATAGTGAGGTCGATAGCGGGAGCGGTGGCGAGACAGATAGTAGTATCGGTGGTGAGATCACTCTTGAGTGGGATCGGTGGCTCCGCCCCCCTGCCCCCCCCCCACACACACACAACACAACACAACACAACACACACACACCACAACACAACACAGCACAACACAACACAACACAACACAACACAACACAACACTCTCACACACACACACACACGACCTCTTTATCACCCGAAGGGTGGTCGTTGAGGTAGTAGGAGTGTGCAACGGCGGCACGGCTGGAGGACGTCTCCCGTGGAGCACGGGCCTCTCGCTGGACACTGCCTTGTCAATTCTAATACAGCCTCGTCGCAATCCTCATAGACAGAAGAATGCAGGGGAGTCCCTCGTCAAAACAGGGCTCTCGTCTGAATCGCAGGCACATGGGACGCTCGTCCATATGTCAAGAGGAAGCATCCAGTCGTGAGAGAAGGATGCCTGTCGAGACATATCAGGAGCTGACTTGGGATGGACGGGTGCATTGCAACATACTTAATAATTCCTGGATTGATCATAACCCTCGCCGACCTTCTTCACGTCCTCGTCATCATCCTCTATCCTGTTCCTCCTTTTCCTCTTCACCATATCAACGCCCTTCCCTCTTCGACCTTGTCATGACCCTCCTCCCTCCATTTTTACCTCTTGCCCTCCTCCACGGCACCAAGTATCCGTCACCCACCTGCTCGTGTTCCTCCGCACCTCTGAAGTTCCTCGTCCTCGTACGAGATATCCTCCTCCTCCTCCTCCTCCTCATCGCCCTCCTCCGCCTCCTTCTCATGTTCCTGTTCCTCATCAACCTGGTCATGATGCTCATCTTCCTCCGTGTGCGCGTCATCCTCTTCCTCCTCAACCGTGCCCCCCTCAGCAGCAGTAGCAGCAGCACTGTCAGCATCACAAGTCTCAGAATCAGCATCATCATCCACATCACCAAATGCAGCAGCATCGTTAGCAGCATCATAATTGCCAGCATCATCATCAGCAGCATCATCAGCATCAACATCAGCATCAGTAGCAGCATCAGCATCAGCAGCATCAGCATCAGCATCATCATCCTCCTCATCATCATAATCGGTATCAGCATCATCATGGTGATCATAATCATCAGTCTCAACATCATCATCGTCATCATCATCAACAACATCATCATCAGCGGCATCATAATCAGCATCAGCATCAGCGTCGTCAGCATCATCATCAGCAGCAGCAACATCAACAGCAGCAGCACCATCAGTGTCATCCTCCCGATCGTCGTCGTCATCGTCAGCATCCGCATGAGCAGCAGCGGCATCAGCATCAGCAGCAGCATCGTCATCATCAGAAGTTGCATCAACAGACGCATTAGCAACAGCTCTGACATCCTCGTAGCCTAAATCAAAAATTGTAATCCCCCCCGTTCCTCATCCTCCGTATCTTCCCCGTCCGTCTCTGATCATCCGTAGCAGCATCAACATCATCATCATCCCAATCAGTCGTGTCTCCCTCCGACTCCCTCCAAGTCCTTGCTCCACTACGGCGCCTCGTCATTCTCCTCCTCCTCCACGTCCGCATTATCGACCTCCTGCTCCTCATCTTCCTCCTCCTCCTTCACATGCTCCTGTTCCTCATCAGCCTGCTCCAGCTGCCCACCGTCCTCCATGTCGTCATCCTCATCCGCGTCATCCGCCGCCACCTCTTCCCCCTCCTCATCCTCCTTATCCTCACCATCAGCATCGCAAACCTCATCATAAGCAGCAGCAGCATCATCAGCGGCCGCAACGTCATCAACACCATCGCAAAAAACATCAGCATGACACGTCACCAGCATATGCCGTAACCTCAACCTCTTCATCTTCCGTGGCCTGATCCGTACCACTACCATCAATAACGGTCACATCCCACACATTCTCGCTTGCATATGAGTCCCACACAAGCTTGCTAGCCCACCTCGTCCTCATCAGCATTGTCATCATCATCAGCATCATCATCATCATCAGCAGCATCATGAGAAGCAACAGCATCACCACAGCATTACCAGCACCAGCATCAGCATCAGCAGCATGCCCAGCACCACCATCATCGGCAACAACATGGTCAACACCATCGTCATCATCGTCGGCACCATAACCACCAGCATCATCAGCATCAGCATCCGCGTCCTCAGCAGCACCATCGTCATCAGCACCAGCATCGTCATCAGCATCATCAGAAGCATCACCAGCAGTATCATCATCCGTATCAGCATCAGCATCCTCATCATCTAATCAAGACCATCAACATCTTCACCATCGTCGACGCAAACGTCACCACAGCATCACCAGCAGCGCCATAATCTCATCCCGCAACAGCGTCAGCGTCAGCAGTGCCATCATACCAAAACCGTCACCACCACCAACGACACCCTCACCACCATCAGCATCATTAGCACCACCAGCATCATCACCACTATCAGCAACATCGGCATCACCACAAGCATCCGCATCGACACACAACATGGTTGACAGCATCATCAGCATGGTTACAGTATCGTCATTATCACCAGCTTCGTCGTCAGCATGCCCCCCCCCCCGCTCTTCCTCCTCCTCCTCCTCCTCCTCCTCCTCCTCCTCGTGTTCCTCCTCGTGTTCCTCCTCCGCCTCCTCATGCGACTGTTCCTCCTCCTCCTGCCCCTCCTCCTCCTCCTCCTCCTCCTCTTCCTCCTCCTTCCTCCTCCTCCCCCCCCCTTTCTCCTCCTCCTCCTCTCCTCCCCTCTCCTCCTCTCCTCCTCCTCCTCCTCCTCTCCACCTCATCCTCCTCTTCCTCCTCCTCCACCACCTTATCCTCCTCCTCCTCCTCCTCCGCTTCTTCGTCCTCCTCCTCCTCTTCCCCCTCCTCCTCATCCTTATCCTCCTCCTCCTCCTCCTCCTCCTCCTCCTCCTCCTCCTCCTCCTCCTCTTCTTCCTTCCCCTCCCGTTCCCGCGGGTTCCTGCACAAGGTCCCTGTAGGAGTAGCCCCCGAAGTCGACGCTGCAGCCTCGTTGCCTGCCCCGCGTCGCCCCCCCCCATATCGTGCCATCGCCCGCCCGCCAGACCCCAGAGGAGCAGGAGGAGGAGGAGGAGGAGAAGGAAGAGTTTTTGTTTGGACGAAGGTTGGCGACTAGCCTCAGCTCCCTTTGCAGACGCCGACGAGCGACAAGGATGCCCGAAGGGGACCGAATGGGACGAAGGACGGGACCCAGGACCCAGCACGGAGCCGACCGAGGGGACCGACCGAAAAAACAAAAACCGAAACCACGAAAGGCCACAGTCACCAAAGCCAGCTGGCAAGTTGGCGGAAGAGCAAGCAGGCGGCAAAGCACGTTGCTGGTACCGTCTCCCACGGACGGTTCTCATCATCACCATCATCATCATCACCAGCATCACCATCATCCGCATCAGCATCATCATCAGCAGCATCATCATCGTCAGCAACCGCATCAGCATCATCATCATCATCAGCAGCAGCATCATCATCATCATCAGCAGCATCATCATCGTCATCCCCATCCACACCCCTCCACACGCCACCCACGCCTACAAGGAAGAACTACCGCTTGCTTGCGGCGGGCCCCCCTCGTTCCCATGGAGGAAGTAGGCCGTGAGCCCACATCAGCGTGGCGATCAGGTGGCCAATGCAAGTTTGGTGCGAACATGCAGGGAAGATCGGCACGAACGCTAGCAGGAGGTTTGCCACGATCAGTTTCAAGAAGAAGCGAATGCAAGGGCTGGGAAGGAATTGCACCATCATGATAGCCAGGCTCATCACGAACGGGACCCACACGACCGGCATCCTGAGCACGCTCACGGAGGACAGGCTCCTGTAAAGGACCTTGACCAAGAATTGGGTGGAGCCAGAAACGGGCAACCAGCAGGCGCGCAGCCCATCAGGACGCGCCGTTCACGACATGACGTTCAGGATGGCATCCTCCAGCTGAACGAATTGCAGGAGGCTTTCCACGAACAGAATCAGGTTTGCCGCGAGCAGCTTCAAGCATAACGGAATGTACAGGAAGAGCTGCGCCACCATGGAGACCAGGCCCAGCGACAACAGGTCCCACACGATCGGCAGCGTGAACAATTTCACGAACAGTTTCCTGCAGATCCCCTGCATCACGATCAGAATGTTGAACTCACTCGTGAGGCTCAGCGCCTTGAGGAACATAGAAATCTGACTGGAGACCCCCAGCTTCGGCATCAGGAACGCCGGCAGCAAAACGAGCATCACCAACACCATGTGGAACAAGGACTCAGGCCACAAGAGCACCATTTGCATGACGAAGCATCAAGCCCTTCACAAGGAACTGCAACGATGACGTTCCCAATTCACGTGCATCAGTAAGTCCTCCATCTCGTTGAAGGAACCCGCGGGCATGCGCAAGAGACGGGCGGCAGCGGCAGCCTCGCCCATCTTGCCCTAATTCCAACCCTTGGCTTCTGTCAGCTCCCAGTGCGCTGCCAGGGACCTGCGGAACGCCTTCGCGCGGTGGGCGATGGCCTCAGCACGAGACAGTCCAAGTTACTGCCGCATGCGCCGCCGCAGACGCCGCGCCAAGGTGCGGGCGGAAGCAGCAGCCCAAACCTTGCCCTCGGGCAAGACATCGCTGCATTGCCGCATGCGCCAAGCAAATGCGCCACGGAGGGGCGCGTCGCGGAGAGTGGGCCCTCCCGTGACACAGGCTCGCTTGAACCAGGATGGCTACAGAGGAGGAGAAAAAGGTGGCGGAAGGAAGGCTGGGAAGGCCGGGGCGCATGTCCCGGAGGAGGCCCTGGGGGCGGGCGCGCCTGAGGCCCGCTCAGCACGAATACCAATCGACGTAGTCGCTCTCGAAGCTGGACCAGGCGTCCCGGTCAGCAGCGAGCCCCGTCCAACTACGAAGTCCTACTGTTTTGGCGAAGCGCCGTAAAGTGTCCTCCCACTTCATGCGCCTGCCGCACGATGGGCGCGTCAGTCTACCCTGGCCAGAATTTTTCGTGTCCCGTGTCCATTCAGAACCTCTCCAACAAGTACTTATCCACACCCATGAACTCGCACTCTTTCTCCATACGTGCCCTGCCCATGACCACTCTCGTCGAACGTGCGCCTTCGTCCTCTGTCGAACTCCCACATAGTGCGCCTTTGTCCACGCCCTTTGGGTTGTTCTGGAGATCCACTCATGCCATTGCTCGTCTGGCCTGCGTTGAAAAACGCACATGTAACGCAGCATCTTGTTCTGAGCAGACTGCAAGGCACGTAGCTCTGCAGCCCGAGGCGTCCACGAATTCTAACACTGCTCCCCACAGAGACATCAAACAGTCGAAACCGGCGCGAAACCCACGGAGACATCAGACAGTCGAAACCGGCGCGAAATAGACACCTCCTTGTTCAGCAGCAGCCGCTTCATGGCCAAGTACTTGCGCCATCCCACAGAGATCCGGTGCTGCATTTCTGCGTTGATCACGTCGTCCAGGGGCACGAACGTGCCAAGCACTTCCAAAGGATCCCCTGCCGCCAGCACGTACAAGGAGAAGCCAGGGTCTATCTCCACGTCCCCGCGCCGCACCTCCTGCGAACTATTGGTCTGCGCCTTGCATTTTGTGGGGTGTAAGTTGAGTCCTCGTTTGCGCAACGCCTCTTTGAGTGACAGCACCATGCGTTTCAGTAACAGCCATGATCGCGCAACCAACGTCACGTCGTCGGCGAATGCCACGTGCGTGAGACGCCTTCCCCTGAGTTCCTGTCCCACCGCGGCACCGTACCTTCTGCGTTGCCAGACGCGGTTGACTTCGTTCAGAACTTGCACCATAAGCAGAAGGAGGCGGAGGAGTCAGGAGGGAGGAGCGAGGAGGCAGGAGGGAGGGAGGATGGCAGGAAAAAGGGGAGGAGAAGGGAGGAGGAAAAGCCTGCAGAAGGAGGGGAAGAGGCGACGGTAAGGCTGGAGAGGTATGTAGGGGAAGAAAGCGAGACAGGGAAGGAGGAGAAGCGGAGAAAGAGGAGGACAAAGCGGAGGGAGGAGCAGGGCGGAGGATGGGAGATGGAGATCAGACAGAACAGGACAGGCACTTGGGGCTCGGGTGTCCAAGCCACCAGACGGCCCGGCTCGAACGCTCGGCTGCCCCATGCGGGCAAGCCCCCGGGACGGGATGCCAAGGGGGGGGACGAGAAAGGGGGGAGGGGAAAAGGAGGGACGAGGAGGGAAGAGAGCAGGCAGAGGAGAAAGGCGAAATTAGGAGGAGGAGGAGGAGGAGCAGGAGCAGGAGGAGGAGGAGGAGTCCCTTCCTTCCAACTGGCGGTGGGCCCTGCCTCGGCCCCTCCTGGGCGTGCTCGTGGGTGTCTGAGGCCCTGGGCCCCCGCCTTCCCTCCAGGGCCTAGGAGCCTCGTCCCCTCGCCGGGCGTTCTGACCAGAATTTCGAGGCGAATCCAGCGGTGGCGACGAGGGTCTCCTAGGAGGCCCATAAAAGGGGAACCCGAGGAAAGGGTAGCGGTATCGGTACATGCTTCTCCTGCGAGAGCAAGGGAACGCCATACACTTCCAGCCATGTCCAAAGGTCAGCCTGCAATACGGCCATCGTGCTACCCCACGGAGCGCCAGATCGGAAGCGAAGGAGGCCGTGCTGGCGACGGCAAGATTCGGCCACAACCTTGCCCCGCCCCGTTAGCGGGTCGGCGGGCGCAGCGCCGCGCGAGACGCGGCGGCGCGGCTCCGCGCGGCGGAAGGTGCTAGCTGGGCACCGCGGCGGGCGCCGCGTCCCCCTACAGGGCCTGTCCCCCTACAGGGGGATTTTCGACGAAAAATAAAGAGTACCCCAACAAAAATCAAAACATAATCCACAAAGAATCAGGGGACTAGTTTTGGAATATTGGTTGACCTTTTGGGGCTATTCTTGGAACATGTTTTATGATTCGTCGAAAATCACCCTGTAGGGGGACACGCCCGACATAAGGCTGGGCGTAAGAGTGACCTCCTGGGTCCTGCGTCGTCTCTTGACGGTCCCGAGGTCCGGCGAGGGCCCCCCCGAGACCGAAAGTGACCCAAACAAAACCTCCCCGCCCCGACGTGTCTCTCTTGTCGACGCGGTCATGTCTGGCCTGGGCCAGCACCACAGGCCACTCCGGCGGAGGGCCTCTCGCACGTCTGGCCGCAAGAGCAGATCGGCTATATAGGCGTAAGAGTGACCCTTTGCTAAGAAGGACCTTTGGTGCGCAGCTTGTGAGGGCGCGAGGGAACCAAACCCGAGGGCGCGGGCCGCTTATATCGCATCGCGCTCGGCGATGGAGGGGGAGCCCGATAAGCCCGCACAAAAGGTCACTCCGGCGAAAGGTCACTCTTACGCGTAATCGTAGTTAGTGGGGGAAGGAGGAGGGGGAACCCCGCCGGCACCCCCGCTTTGCGCCGCGAAGCGCCCAAACCCTTCCCACCCGGGTCGCGACTGGGTCTGACCAGCGCTCCGCGCTAGCCCCAACAGCCAGGGCAACGGCACCTTCTGTCTTGCATGTCTGAAGCGGAGGAGGCAGGAGGAGAAAGGAGGAGAAGGGAACGCCAAGGATGCTGAGGAGGAGAACGATGCTGGAGGAGGTGGCGCGAGGAGGACGAGGGAGCTGTACAGTTTTTCGGGCCTGGGTTGGGTTTCTTGCTCAGCGGCTGCTAGCGAAGAAACTGAAGCTGCCCCCATTCCCGCTGGTTGCTTGAACCTCTGGGCACGCGCACCAAAAAATCCCCAGCCGACAGCCTTTACGATCGCTCCAAGCCTTTAATGCGAACGCAAGCCTAAGAAACCCAAGGTACCCTGGCAAAATGAGAGCTGTTTCATGGCACAGGCTCCCTTTGTAGGACCAGGAGGAGCACGCCGGACAAACCTGAGGACCTCCCCAGCTGCGCAGCGTACTTTTGGTGTGCCGCTGCTCGAGGTCAACAGGGCCCCAAGCGGCCTCCAAGACAGCCCAAGGGGGCACCAAGACGCCAAAAGATCGGCCCAAGACGTCCGAGATGGCCTCAAGATGGCACAAGAGGCCTCCAAGACGGCCAAAGAGGCCTCCAACAGGCCTCCCAAGAGGGACTCAAGAAGTACAAATCATTAATGTCTTAAATGTTTTTGGAGGATGTGGACGTTCTCGCCTGTTCGGCTTTCCGACGCTCCAAGACGGCCCCAGAGGCCCTCACGACCACACGGCCCAAGAAACCTCCAAGAGGGCCCCAAGAGGGCCTAAGAGCGCCCCAAGAAGGCCCAAGAGGCGCCAAAGAGGGCCCAAGAAGGCCCCAAGACGGCCCCAAAAGGGGCCCAAGAGAGGAAACACGAGCTGAAAATCTAAGCCTTCCGCCCCGAGAGGCCCCCAGACGGTCCCAAGAGGCCAGGAGACCCTCAAGAGGCCCCGAAGAGGCCCCAAGAGGCCACCGAGAGGCCCAAACGAGGCCGAAGGAGGCCTCAAAACGGCCCCCAAGAGGCCTCCAAACTGCCTGCGAGATGCCCCCGAGAGGCCTCCCACGAGATCCCAACGCACATCCAACAGGCGTCATACCCACAACCCAGGCACGGTGGCGGGATGGGCCGAGGGCCACTCGGTACGGTCGAACTGCTGAAAATCAGGAGCACTAGATAATGAACAAAGCCCCTTTATGGGGACCTAATTCGCCGGCCCAACAGGTCGGAGGCGTGCTAAGATCTCTGGTAACTGGTTCACCGTATTTCTAGTTCGCGCGCGCGGGGCGGCCCCTGGGGGTCGCCGGACGAACAGTACCCCGGCAAGGTCCCGGGAGAAGCCCCCAGAGCGCTCCAGGATCGCACCAACAGGGCCCCGAGACGTCCCCGAGAGTCCCAAGAAGGTCCAAGAGAGAGTCTCAAGAAGAGCCAAGAGCGCCCAAAAGGCCCCCAAGATGGTACACCAAGGGTCCGAGATGCCACAAGATCGCTCCAAGGCGCTCAAGATAGCCCCCAGACGCCCCACGAGGCTTTCAAGAGCACTCCCAAGAGGGCCCCAATAGGCAAAATTCATTGTTTTTTCTTAGGTTTTATGGAGATTGTGGCGTTTCCACCTTTTCGGCATCGCGACGCCCCAAGACGGCCCAAGAGGCCCCCAAGACCGCCCTAAGAGGCCCGAGAGGCCTTCGGCAGCAGACGGCCCAAGAGGGTTCCAAGACGGCCCAAGAGGCCTCCAAGACGGCCCAAGAGGGCCCCAAGAACGCTCTAAGAGGAGCCCCTGAGGGGGAACACAAAACAATATTTCGAGCCCTCGGCCCTACGAAGCCCCCAGGAGGCGCCAAGAGGCCCCTAAGAATCCCCAGGAGGCCCCCAAAAGGCCCTCACGAGGCCCCCAAGAAGCGGCTCCCAAGCGGCTCCAGAGGCTCCAAGAGAAACCCAAGAGGGCCCCAAGAAATCCCAAACGAGGAACCAAAAAGGCCCCCCAAAGCCCACACGCCAGCGAGGGCACAATACGGGCCAGCGGAATGAGCGAAGCGATTAAATAAGACTGAAGGGGCCCAAGGACACACAAATAAATACACACAATGACAGGATCTCCCCATATTTTCCCACATGTTCTGGGTTTTTCTCTTTCCCCGCTCTTCCCATAGTTTCACCATATTTTCTGGGAGACGACGCTCAATTGTGTCTGTGTGTGTTTTTCCCTCCTGAAAGACATGGGTGCAGGAGGAGGGCTGGAGGCACCACCAGAGTGCACCAAGGAACAGCGAGCCCCTTCCGAACCTGAGCTGCTCCTTGGTCTAAGTCGGGCGTGTCCCCCTACAGGGGGATTCTCGACGAAAAAAATAAAAGATAGCACAAACAAAATCAAAACATGATCCAACAAAAAGTCTGGGGAATGTTTTGCCTGTAGTGTTGTTTGACCTCTTGGGAGTTTTGTTCCGGTATTTCCTATTTTTCGTCGAACATCCCCCTGCAATAGAGGGAAGAGAACTATGCACATGCACCGATTCTGGCCAGGCCCGTCCTGAGCCCAGGATCGGTGCATACGCCCTCCTACCTTGGCCAGGACGGCATGTGCACCGATCCTGGGTCAAGGATGGGCCTTGCCAGGATCGGTGCATGTGCATAGTTCTCTTCGCCCGATTTGTTGGGGTATTTCCTATGTTTCGTCGAAAATTCCCCCTGTAGGGGGACAGGCCCGACCTAAAATCCTTGGCTCGGCGTGCTCCCTGCCTGCGGCCGGTCCTCCGCGTCCGGCCTCGGGGGGCGGCCCGAGGGGAGCCGGCCCGCCGAGGGAGAGCGAGGCAGAAAAGCGTCGGGCGGAGGGCTGGAGACCTCTGGAGATTGGCACCCGCACCAGCTCCTGGGCGTTGCCTCCACCTGGGGAAGAGGATCCCAGATTGTTTTTTTGGTGGGGGGAGGAGGAACACGGTGGGGGAGGAGGAAGGAGAGGAGAGGGAGGAAGAAGGAGAAGGGGGAAACAAAAAAAAAAAGGAAGATGATCCTAGATTTCGGTGTTGGTGGTAATAGTTCGGTCACCTTGGGAGCCAGAAGAGTGCCACCATCGCCGAGGTCGGGGTCGTCTTCCATCGGTGGGGGCACACCGCCGATCTCGGCGTTGGTGTCAACCTCTGGGCCTGCGATGAAGATGCCTCTGCGGCCAGCGCCTCGACGCACACGGCTTTTCTGCGCAGGTGCTGCGTCGAGCGGGGCTCCGCCTACACTACGTGAAGGTTGCCGGTGGCATCGGCCACCAGCGTGCCGCTGCCGTCCGTTCGACGGTACACCGCGTCCAGGGAGGCGTTCACGGCGCCGTAGACTCCATCCGCCTCCTGCTGCTTCCAGACCATCTCATTCAGGCCGCCGGGTGTCTGCTCGGAGACGAGCAATGCGAACGTGTTCGGGTCGGCATGCTCACTGTCAGCCGCAAACGTAGCGAATATGGCGCCGACGTGGGCCGCTGCCTTGCTCGCCTGGACGCCGCCCTGCACCAGCCACTGCTGAATGGTCAGCTGCCTCTTGTAAAAGTCCCCCATGAAGGCCCCCACTGCAGCCAGTCTGGCTCGAGGAACAAAACACGGAACAAGCACAAACGTTCGGAGGTCTGCGCGGAGCTCTTGGATCTGCGCTCGACCCCTTTCCGTTAGGCCCAGCGCCGAAACACAATTCCGCGCGGATCTCGAAAAGTTTGTGTTTACGTCGTTGTTTCTTCTTCGACTGGTGAAATCCTCCAGGCTGTCGGCAGCGGTGTAGGAGCCAGTAACGGAGAACATCGCCTCCGCGTACGGGCGCCACGGGAATCCCAGCGTCACGCCCCTCTGCTTGGCGATCGCCGGCATAGGTGGGGCAATCCCAAAGGGGTCACCACAACAGGGTCACCACGTCCTCGAGGAGACTGCATCTCCTCAGAGAAGTGGGCCCCCTAGCACACTCCCGGGCCAAACCAACTCCAAACGTTTCAAGACCTCCTCGAGCTTGTGTTGTTCCCATCGTTTACCACATCCTAGAACTAATTTCGAGCACCCAGAAAAGTGTCGAAAGAGTGTCGAACGAGTATTGCCTCCCAGGGCCCGACACGTGAAACCCAAGTTTCGGTACTTTCTTGATGCTCTCGAAATGTTTTCTGATGGTTCAGGCTATAATAGGTTGGAACATCATAACCTAAACGATCAAAGACCTCCTCGAGCTTGAAGCCTGGAGGCCCGATTTCCAGAGGAACTGGTGACCCCCTGGTGGTGACCCCCCTTGGCACTGCCCGCATTGGAAGGGCGACAGTGCAGTTCACCCCCGGGCCCAGCAGCGCCTCCAGCCGGGGGAACTTCACCGCGGCGATCAGCGACACGACCTGCCGGGCGACTTCCACTGGCCACCTCACCGCTCCTGGCCAGGCCCCTCCTGGGCTCAGCATCGGTTCGGGCGTTGGCAGAACTGGGTTCAGTGGGTCCTGGTTTCGTGATGTGTACGGGGGGACGCGCCCCCGCCCCACTCCACTACCCGGAAGTACCGCCACCCGGAAAACACCAGCTACGGCAGACTTGGTTGAGTGATTCCAGCGTATGTTCGGGGCTTCGGGGCCCCATTACTACGCGGCTCCCCTTAGCGGGGGTCCTAACTATACCCGGTCGGTGCACCATTATGGGAACGCGACTGTTGCACACAAGCCCCACACACATGAGCTGGTCCGGCACAAGACCGTGAGGCGGGGGCTTGGTTTCAAGAAGTGGCGTCCCCTGGGGACACGATCTTGTAATTGCACCACCTCCGAGAACAAGCTGGCCCGGCACGAGGAACACACGCGGGGGCAGTCTCCACACAGCGGCCCCCGCAACAGTACAGTCGGGCCGCGGATATAAAGAATGGCAAATCGGCCGATCCGGCGTGTGAGTTTGAAAGAGCCTTAGATGTAGCCTCAGCTTCAGTTGCTGAGCTTCTGCTCTGCTGGGGGGTGGGTGCGGAATGGCTCTGCCGGGGTACGGGGGGTGGGGGGGTGGGGAGGGGGCGGGCTGTGCTGCGTTTTCCGGGGGGGGGGGGTCGGGCCGTGGGAAACACAACAGAGTGCCACCCCGGATGCCAGAGAGCCCAAGATTGCGCCCCCGGATCGGCGGCATTGTCCGGAGGCCACTACAATAAGGAACGAAGACCCTCTTTGGCCCCCAATGGCGACAGCGTGCACGAGGAGGGCTGAAGGAACAACCACATAATGACCTGTAAAGGCCTCCCAGGTCGCCGATGCATCGGCGATGCAATGGCGATGTATCGGCGATGCATCGGCGACGCACTGGCGACGCATCGTCGATGTCGACGATGCATCGGCCACTTCGACGTGAAGCAACTCGGGCTCCACGTCGAGCCGCATCGGCGATGCATCAGCGACGCGGCGCGATCCTCCGACCCCAACTGCTCCGACTCCATCTATGAGGACTAGGACCTAAGGAACATCGAGACCCTTCCGTGCCCAAGCTGCTCCTTCCTTAGAAGAAGAGAAAACAACATAAACAGAGAAACTTTTGGCGCTCCGCGCGGATTTCTTGGAATCGCGTTGGACCCCTCCCTGCCACGTGGAGCGCGCCAAAGGGCGCCGCCGGAGGCGCCGCCAGGTGGCCCAGGCGCGAATCCAAGAAGTCCGCGCGGAACGCCA